AATATCAACTGGAATAAGAAGAAGTGAATATAATAATAAGGCACGTAGTGGAGATTAGTAGATATTAATTAATGACAGTTAAAAACTATTACCAGTCAAATATTTGGAACACACCTAGACACACTTTTTCTCAGAGTTGTTTTTTTTTTTTTTTACTATTTTCCGACATGTATAAGTATAGTTAAACATCAAAAAAATGTAAATTAATACATACAATCATGCAGAGAGCAAAAATAGTGTACAGTATATAAAAATATCACAGAATTTAGATTATTTTAGAAATCAGCCCCTCAGTCTTGATGCAGCTTCACACACATTCACTCTCAACCATCAGAGACTTTTCCAGCAGAATTGACGCCCTCCGTACAGTTAGCGCTGAAAGACAAGACATTCATCATACACATGCATGAACGTGACTAAATGTATTTGTCTTAAATGCACTGATTCATATTCGAGCAGCAACGCCTTAGAACACCACACACACACCACAACACACACACACAAAACACACATTATCTAAACCGCTTATCCTTCTGGGTCGCGGGGGTTGCTGGAGGCTGTCCCAACAGTTATTGGCCAGAAGCACTTAAAGATAAAATTGCAGAAAATGCTTATTTGGATAGGTGTGTCCAACTTTCAACTGGTCATGTGGGTTAATATGTTATTTAATTATGACATATTTTTATATAAGAATGTATTTATTATTAGTCTGACTGTTAAACATGTAAACTCACCAGCCATCAGGGTTTCAGTTTCAGTCTGTAGGTCTGAATTCTGTTGGGCTGGCTGAAATGATAAAGACAGAATATAATTTATCAGGTCAGATATTTACAATCAGCTGTGTCTTAAAATTCTTAACTGTGTGTTAAGTTGTTGTTCTTTTCTCTTCCTAACTCTTTCTGCTGACGGTGGTGGTGAGTTCAGTTTCTGTTGTTTCCAGTAGGATAATTCTCTCTGTAGTTTGCTGCTCTTTCCTGCAGTTCCCTTTCTCAGAGTCTCCAGTGCTTTTTACTTCTTTCAACCTCTTTCACTGTGACTCCAGTCGAGTCTCATTCTCTCTCAGCAGTTCATTCTTCGCATCTATTGTTAGTTTGTTCTATTGTTTTTGTATGTTTTCATTAATTCAGTGTTTTTTTGTGAAGTGTCTGTTTTCTCTTCTAAATCTTTTTTCTCTCTTCAGTTGCGTTCTTTTTCTTTCTCCCTCTCTGAGAGTTTAGTTCAGTCTTTCTATCTCTCTCTCTTTTTCATCCCTCTCTATCAAAACTCTTTCTGTCTGTTTGTTATATCAGTCTGAGTAATGAGTCAGGCAGCTTCCTGATTTGAAGTGTGTATCTCGCTTTTATGCATTCTTATCTCTGATCTCCATCTCCAGTATGAGCTTCTTCAACCATTCATCCTCCTCTCCTACTGCATCCTCTTCAGACTCCTCTTCAGCCTTCTTCATCTGCTCATCTTTCTCTCCACTCCTCTCTCCAAGCTCTCTCCTCTTCTCCTAATGCTCTCCTTGATAAACTTCGCTTAATCATCTTTTGTGTTTTATGCCTGTTTTATTCTCTTCCTTGCTTTTAACTGCTTCCTCTGAGCTCCTCAAAACATCCATCAACAGCTTCTCATCTTCCTCTGATCTCCTCTTCCTCTCTTTGTCTCATCTCCACTCTTTCTCTCACTCTTCTTCCTGCATCGTCTCGGTCTCCATGACTGATCTCTCTGGTGGTCTCTCTCCTCTTAGTTCTCTTCTTTACTGTGTGTTTTGTGTGGCTGTTTGTCTCCAGTTTCAGTCTCAGCTCTCTTCAGCTTTTTTTTTTTTTTTTTTTTTTTCCTCCTCTGCTTTCTTTTCTTCAGTTAAGCTCATTAGTTCTTCAGTAAGGTCAGGAAAACCTATCCCCTTTTAATTCTGGGCAAATGATGATTCAGATTCAGATGATTTAGATTATTTTGTATTTTGTCACATTTGGGGTTTTTACAAACCAAAAATAAAGACAAACCATATCAAAAATAACACTTGTTACAGTGTGAAAATCACTTTATACTGTATATTTTTAAACGGGATACAATTTACAAAGTAAAGAAAATTAATTCATGATTATGATTTACTATTCAAACTGTCTTTGTATTTAGATGTTTATCAAATATTTGTGTGATGTTATTCAGTGTTTATGAAAGATGAAGATTTATAAATAAACAAGCATTAAAACTGGTAACACTTATATAGAGCATAACTAGCTCTGCGCTTTCTTTCAATTTTACTCATCAATTTGAATGACCTCTTAATGAATACCAGTCAACAACTCTGCATCCAGCTGTCTAAGCACATGATGACGAGGGAATTGTTAAAGAAAAAAGCTTTTGCAAATAAACAAATATGAATATACATCTATCCAACATTCCATCCGTAACACACATACACAGAGAGACACCATTCAGATCTTCATATCTGAAAGGACTCCACAAACAAGAAAACATCATTACAGCGAACATTTTTAGATTTACTAATTTATAGTCAAATGCACACATTTGAGGACCCCTTGTTAAATTATGTGTTTTGTTGATTTTCTAAGTGGAAATAAGTTCAGTGAACACACATAAACATGGCATTTTTCTGCACGTTTATTGCATAATTTCTACATATTAGCTGAGTGTAATATATTGGGGTAAAATCCAAATCAATTTAATGTTAATTTCAGTAAACAAACAGTAATTGTGCATTACATTTACATTTACATATTCACTTATTTTCAAATCACGACTACACATCTGAGACTGATATAAATTTACAGAACATCCTACCGAATTAATTTAAGCTGTAACTTCAAGCTGTAACTTCAAACTTATTCAAACAGTAGTATTTTAAGTAGTCAGAGTTTAGATGTTTATGAGGATGATGTTATGATCTATTTCAACTTAAGGAATCGTCATTTATAGTGTAATTTCTATTGGAACGTGTCTGTCCCAAACACTAAACCTTAAACTACACCTGGGAAAATAAAGGGTTTTTTTGTTTTTTATTGTTTTTAACTTTAAAGATTTGAAAGAGTTTAGTTTTTCAATAAAATCATTATTTATAAAATTCTGTCCCAAGTTTTCATGTCACTACAGAAACACAAAGTTTTTAGACCATATGTGGAGCCTTATTTTAGCCACACCCCTACATTTTACAGCAGGAAGTGAGACTGCATCCCTGACCCTCATGGCCACGTGGTCAGCAGTCAGACCCCAAGGTTTTGAAATAAATGCGTCCCAAATTCTGAAAATCAGTGTGTAACATTAGTAAGCAGGTCATTAGTGAAAGCATGATTTTCGACCATTAAGTAAACTTTTGTGTCATTTTCATTAGTATCATGGTATGTTTGTATATCATAATAGTATAACTAGAAAACAATAAAAACAAATAAATAATGTCACTCAAAGCAAAAGGAGTAGTTTAGTTCTAAATTCCACGCTCAGTAAAAAGTCTGAAATGAGTTTTAACTCTGACTTCTGAACTGCTTCAGTATAATGATTCATATAGAGGCGAAACAGTTATCGCTCTTTAAAATGATCACACAGACGGTCAGTATCATTGCTCTTAATATAAATGCTCAATTTAATGATGTCTTGATGTAAAACAACCTCAGTAAAAGCTGTAAAACCTCATAAATCTATAAAACACACAAACAGTCTTATCTACACTTCATACTAACATAACCTCAAAAACACACACGCTTACAAAAATAAACATGGTCATCCTTACCGGTCAGCAGAGCAGATCTTCCATTTCAGTCTCCTCTTCTGTCCATTTCTGTCCACTGTAAAAGAGAATAAAACAGTGTGAAGATCATCCTGAGGTCATTCTGTATGTTATATGATCAATAACTCTTTCTCTGTTTAAATCACTGTTGATGTGTCAGTGTGAATCACTGAGAACTGATATTCATAACAGTATATACAGAAACTGTATTGATAGAATTTTACCAAAACAAATAATAAATAATGATAAATAAGCACATGATAATAAAGTAATATTTATTAATAAATATTAATAAATAATAATATTTTATTAGTAACTGAATAAGAGCTCTTTTCATCTTTAGTTTTCATAATAAATCATCATCAGTCATGAGCTTCATGGGAAGTGAGAGTAACAGATCTGAAACGCAGCATCAGAAAAGGGGAATTAAAGTAGTTGCAGCTCTGCAGCTTCTGAGGATCATGATCACTTACAGAACACTGATCAGCATCAACACTGTAATAACACTGTAATAACACTCAACTGAACACCATGAAATGAGAATCAACAGAAAAGACGAAACTAAACTTAATCGTAAACTTTATCAACTATCAGCCCTGAACAGCTTTTACACACAATAATGTTTACATACATAGATTTAAACATCATATTAAAATATGAATTATTTTAATCTGATGATTAAATAATGATTAATATTAATCATATTAAAACGTTCTCTGCATCATCAAAGATTCTTCAGATTGATGGAGAACGTGCTGTACATGGTTCTATTTAGAACCTTTTGAAAAGCGTTCTACACTAGCACCACAAAAAAGAGGTCTTTTACTGTTACATCCAGCTGTTATGTCAAGCTTGTATATAATAGAGGAACCCTTTTAGGTGCTATGAGGCAAACCTTTCAAAAAGGTTCTATACAGAACCATAAACAACACATTCTCCATCAATCTGAAGAATCACTGATGATGCAAAGAAACCTTTAATCCAGCAAAATGTTCATCGAGTGTTCTTGGTTCTAAACAGAACCATATACTTTACTAAAGAACCTTTGAAGAACCATCTTTTTTAAAAGTGTGATCTATGTAGAATAACATGCTCACCTGATAAACATAGACTTCCGCAACTCGAGACTCTGATCAGAGACAAAATAAGAACTTTTAAAATACTGAAAACATATAAGACGAAACATTAGATCAGTATTTTGTTTAGTATGACATGAAGCTGTTGTTTAGTTTTAAAGACCATCAGAGAAAATATCATTTTCAACAGGTTTAAAGTTTCAGAATGTACTGTTCACTCTCCAGTTCACATAGTCCATATATGGAAACTAAGCTGTAAATACTGCTCACTGTGAGTTCACTGTGGTTGTGATGTCACAAAAAATCACATATATCTATATCACATATATCTATTACATATATCTGTCTATTTAGCCAACAGCAGTTTAGCCCCGCCCATTAACACAGTATAAGGAGTGTTTCAGCCTGCACTGCTTTTTTAATGAGGCACAATACAGGCCAATCAGAACTCATTTACAGATATCAGTCTTAAAGGCACAGTAACACAAACAGTCTATTTACAACTAAATGATGAAGAAAGGATGGAAAATGATCATGTAAAAATGAATTATGACTGTTTTTTGATATATAAAAACCACATAAATGTTATAAGTGGACTTTAGGGGGAAATAAAATACTAGACAATGTGGGATATGAGCCCTTTAAAGAACTCTAGCTGCTGCTGTATTTACAGTTAGATCTTTAAACACAAACAAATAATGATTTTCTCTTCTTTCAGATTGTGTTTTCATGTCTGATATTATAGAGTCTGAGAGGAAAAATGAATGAGCTCTAAAACTGAAACTGCAAATTAAAAAGATCAAAAAGTGAAGTTAGTTTAAAGTTTGAGATCTGCTGCTCTTTAGCTTCTGAGAAGTTAGTCTGATTCTCTCCTCAATAAGTCTGACTCTCTGCTGCTTCTCTGACTGTCTGTAAACTGGTTGTTCTGTCCAGCAAATTTTTATATCAGCATTTATATTTAATACTGTTCAACGAAGACAATAATGTAGCTAATAATGAAATATAATAATTGTCAGCCGGCTGAAAATTATTATATTTCATTATTAACTACATTATTGTCTTCATAGAACAGTATTAAATATAAATGCTGATATAAACGTGACTCTGCTGTTAAAGTTCATGTAAGGAAATGATTCTAACACAAATTTCTGATTATATTAATGATAATCAGTGTGAAAAACTGTGAGCTTCACTTTGTAATCTGTCAGTATCAGTGTGTAGATCAGATGGGTGTGTGTGTGTGTGTGTGTGTGTGTGTGTGTGTGTGTGTGTGTGTATGTGTGTCTGTGTGAGTCTGTGTGTGAATGAGGTAACAGTGTTATTAATGGTGTTCAGTCATCTCAGGCTGCTGTGAGCTCTACACTATAGTGATACATACAGAGCTGAAGTGTGTGTTAGTAACTCTCTCGGCTGCGAGGATGTTCAGCTGAACTACTCTGAAACACAGTACAGATAAATACATCAGTCCTTTACATCCCAAACATCTTCATCAACAATCAGCTCATCACAATAAAAGCACTACACACTGAATTATACTCACTTCTCTGTGCTTCTGTCCCTGAACCCCACTGTGAAGAGAATAATATAATGTGAAGATTTTATGCATGAAGAGTGAATCATTATATTTGAATATTAGGAAGGCTCGAAATGTAACAGTACAGTAAATGTGGATGATGCTGCTCTGTTGTTTGGGGGCTTTCTTCTCTTTATGAGGGTCTAATACAGACTGACAGTGTTACATTCTAGAACTTAAAATTTTGTTTCAGTTTTTTTATTTGTTACGGTCATTTTTGTCTGTGTCCTCTGTCTGTCTGTCTGTCTCTCTCTCTCTCACACACACTCTCTCTCTCTCTAGTTTTCTGCAATAACATCATTAATTGATGTTAAAATGATATGTATATGAAAGTGTCTTTATGGGTCATTAATATAGGTCTATATTTGAAGAAATTAACAAACACAGCTGGGCAAACATGACTACTTCATTGAGTGATGGAGGGAAATCTGCTCTCATAGTCAGTTATTTGTTGTGTTTGTTCACTACTGAACTGAGCTGTGAGGAGAAAGTTCATTTATGTACGATCTCAGTAACCATAGTCTTCTCTATTCAGTCAGTCCTCTACTCTCTTTCTCTTCATTAAATCCTCTCTATCTGTCTTATTACAGACTGTAGAAGTGAATAAAACAGCCTGAAGATTTCATAATTAAAGCCACGAGTTACACATAAAAAACTAAAAATAACAACTTCTCTCAAATCTCTCCTTCAGCTACTTTAAGATGAGTTTAACTCTTTCATGTTCATCTAGTGAATCTCTGCTGAGAGACTCTGCAGACTGAATAAGAGAAGCTGATCATTCTTAAATGAAGTGAATGGAACGTGAAGAGATGAGAGGAGCTCAGTAATCCAGTCTTAGTCAGAGCTGCTGGACTCTTCATGATTGCTGCTGTGTGTTTGAGTCACGATATAGAGGACTCATCAAACAGCAGATAGTGTGTGTGAGTGTGTGTCAGAGAGCTCCTGCTGTGTGTGTTCTGCTCTATTTTCAGTAATGGAGGAGAGGAACACTACAGTAATGAGAGAGACACTCTAATGATAATGATGTACTGATGATGAACGACTCAAATATTCCATCATCACATAAGAACAGTGACATCACTCCCAACAGAGCCAGACGGCTTTTTATTGTTGTGTCGTTTTTCTCCATCAGTGAACTTCACTGTCTCTACATTTCTGCAGTGCAGTGGGATATGCACAGGAGCATTGTGGGAAGGAAGGAGGAGATGAGTCAACAGCTGTGATTCTGAGTATCAGAGACTTGTTCATCATGTGAAATGTACCTGGGAAAACTCAATATGATGTAGCTGCTTGATGTCTGTATGAATGTAGTCCTGTGATATAGGAGTTGTAAATCAGTCACTACCAGCAGCGAAAGAAGTAAACAGAGTGATGTTAGCTGACGACGGTGCTGTGGAATGAAAAACAGAAGGAACACAAGTTAGTCAAATCTCCATGAGAAACCACTTTTACAGTTATAATATTCAGTCTTGTTTAAAACTCTTTATCTCTTATCGGAATCTCCTTTCTCATCTGTACTGTAGTTCTTCATCCTCACTCTTGAACTGTCACTCAATGCTTTCAGTACAACTCCATGAAGACGTTCAGCTAAACAGTTAAAGTGTAAACCTACAGCAGAAACTCAACCCTTATAGAAATGACTGGTAACACTTTACAATACGGTTCCTTAGTAAACTAGTAATATGCATCAACAACTCATGAACGAATATAGTAATTCAGTAATGAATAATGTGTTATGCTTCAAGTGTCACTGATGAACAAACATGACGGAAGGAATGTGTTTTATCCTGCAGCCAGAGAGTTAAAATCAGATAAAGTACATTTTGTTTTACAGAATGAACAGACAGATTAACTCATATAATAACTAAGATTTAACTGATATATGAACTAAAAGATGAACTGATATAATACATACTATTATAACTAATCTAGTGTCAATCAGGAACAGATCATGAAGGAACATATGCAAAATAAGTCAGTTAAGAAACGGTTAAATATAAGAAGAGAGTTTTGTGTTCTGAAGCTTCATGAATGAATGAGGATCATGAGCTGAAGAAAACGATGAATAAACTCAGATGCAAGACTTAAAGATGAATCTCTATTGTACAGTCAGGAGCGGAGCTTCAGGAGAGCCTAATACTCCAACACGTTTCAGTTTCGTGGAGAACTGAGAGCTGAAAACAGTCAATCAGAGCCGTCAAGCAGCAGGTCGGGCTTTTTACTGTGCTGATCATTCTGGGTCGTGTCACAAATCACTTCATTAACATGTTTTACAGAAAGTTCGTGAAAATAGTGAGTTTTCAGAAACTGCTTCTTCACTAAAAGAACCACATTAAACTTCTCTCTAAAGAACGACTAACAGACCCATCAGTTCCTCACACAGAGCTTCTTTATTAGAGTTTTACCTTCAGCCCTGAAAAAGACAGAGGATAAAACTTTGAATGAAAAAATAAACAAAGCCTAAAAGAGGATAAGTATAATATATTAACACTAATAACAATAATAATACTACTATTAATAATAATAACAACAACAACAACAATAATAATAATAATAATAATAATACTTTTTAAATTATTATTATTATTATTATGATTGCTGATTATTATTATGAATTTTAAAAGTATAAAATAGTACTGAAGATTAATTTTGGCCTCATCACTTCATCAGGAAGTAAAATGCACCAACTTTACACTTTACATCTTCTTCTTTTTCTTTTGCTTATTATTATTATTGTTGTTTATAAATGTGGAAATAATATGGAATAACAAATATTAGTTAATTCAATATTCTATTTTTATTCATGAAATGTAGTCCATTATTATATTATATTAGATTATCTTATATTATATTATATGTAATATATTAATGTTGCCGGGTAATAAAGAATTCATCCCTTCAGAGAAAATAAAGACCCTAAAAGATCTAGAAAGGGATTTTTAGTTGTGAAGTCATTTTGATCCACGTTACTCTTAAAGCTACTTCAGACAAACAAAACAATTCTTATAATTCAAAACTCAAAAACAGCCAGTTTGACTTTGTACAGTGTATGTAGATTCATATTTCAGCTCAGTCAGTGATCTGTAGAAGAACTCAATATATTAAGAGTGATTTAGAACTGAACTAAACTGATTTAGAGTTTAAACTAAAACTTTACTTGAGTTCATTAAATAAATGTTAAATTTCTTAAATGTTTGTTGATGGAAATCCATGATGTGTCCTGTCAGGCTGAAGGTGAGCTTAAACTCTTTAGAAAATTAAGATCAGATTTAATCTTCTATCTATAATTTATTTTATTTCATTGTTTGGATGAATGTTTGCATTAATTTACATGATATTTATATTAAATTTGGTCTTGATTAGTTTGTTTGCATTTTATACTCAAACACATGAATTCAGGGTGAAAATATTGTGGTTCATCAAACGTCAGACGGGGGCGCTGGACTTATACATGCTCTGGCGCAGTGGACATCGCTCAAGAGAAAGAGCTGAAGTCAGGGTCGGAATCGGAGAACTGAGACTCGCCGCTCTTGTTGGTGAACTCGCCACGCGCGCAACGAGTCATGAACGCCGCTCGCGCGAGTCACAGATACGACTGAAGTGGTGAATAAGATGCGCAGTTTCGGTTTTATCTCCTCACTACGCGCAGCTCAACTCTGAACACGCCCCTTTTTGTGTCTATAGTTTGTGGATCTGCAGCTTTAATTAGTTATGAGAGCCAGGCAGCAGCCTGTAGTGACGTCACATATTAAATTTAATATTTTAATAATTAATAGATATTGTCTGTTAAATCGATGATCTGACTGCAGTCTGTAGATTTCACTTGATTTGTAACTATTTTCACTTTTTTGTAACAATTTAATTTTTCATCTAAAATATTTATTTAATTCTTATATATATATATATCTATATATATATATATATCTATATATATATATATATATATATATATTATTGCAGCTGCAGTTGTGAGTTTTCCACTGTGCAGTCATGATGTGGAGGTTTAGTGTCAGAGTGAGAAACAGAGTCACTGTTTTTTCTACTGAATGCTCATCTGTCTTCACTCCACATTAACATCATTTATCCTGCGTGTATGTTGTACTCCTTATCTGAACACAACACCATCTGAACATCTGTGTTTCTCATTTCTGTCTCTTCATCTTTCATTCTGAGACGCTGATGATGATGATGAGTTTATTTAGAGTGAACTTCTGGAATACTTACGCCACATTCCTACTGTACACTCCTCTGTTGTGTCTCCATTGGTGACCTGACACAAATAATCTCCTCTATCTGACCATCTGCAGTCTCTGATCTGTAAGGAGACGTTTCCTCTCTGCAGCTCCTGAGTGAACAGACTCACTCTGCCCCTGTAGCCCCTCCCCTCTGTCACCTGCCTGTTCTTATAGAGACAAACACAGTCCGTCCCCTTAAACCACCTGATCTCCATGGAAACAGCACTGATTTCAGGAGACAGGTGACAGGAGAGAGTGACCACAGAGGGAGATTGATAATCTCCATCACGGGGTCCAAAGAGTTTAAACTCATCTGTGTAGAAACACAAACACACACACACACACACACACACACACACACACACACACACATTAATAGTTGTGTCTCGTGTGCCTCCACAATAAAAATAAACTCTCTGATTGAATATTATTAATGATGTTCACAGTAAAACCTTTTGTAGGTTCTGGAAGTTTAACTTACTGTTTCTTGCAGCCGCCATTTTTATCTCTTTATCTCCTCCTACAGATTCACACTAATACAATCCTACAGAGAGAGAGAGAGAGAGAGAGAGAGAGAGAGAGAGACATAAATCTTCTCATAATCATAACCATTTAAATTATACAATTTATTTGTTATATTAACATGATTAGCATAATAATAACTGCTCTCACGTTCTCTGTTCTTCATACAGTCATATCGCTGTTGGTGAAATATGTCCACGTTTTAAATCAGTTCATATCAGGTTAAATGATATCTAATGATTTATATGACAATATTGAAACAAAAACAAACAATATTAATAACAGTATAATAACAATGTCATGTGGTTTCTGCTACATATTCAGTAAAGAAGTTCAGGTTTATTTTTCATTACAGTGACAGTTTTTTCTTTCTTTCTCTTTCAAAATATCTCAGTAATAATAAAGTGATGATGATTAAACAGAAAGAGAAAGGACTACTAACTGTTATGGAAAGTCACCAAATGTTCATTATACAGAAATCCGTGTTGAAAATGATGTGATTTATCAATGCAGGCAGGGCAGGTTAGCACTTCTTTCTCTTCTGCTTTAACTGCATAGAAATCATTTAGTGATGAACTTCGTAGAACTAAAGGAAAAAATCCATTTAGACTTTAATTACAGAGTTCAATGTGGGAATATCTGTAAATATCTGGCAGCTCTTTCTCAACTCAGTCCATCTGAATGAGGCCATTTATTGACTTTCTAAGCTGTTCTTCATCAGGCAGCCGTGTTCTTCACACAGTCTTTTGGGGAGTAGAGCATTAATGAGTGTTAAACACAGCTCAGCTAACGTCACTACTGTTATCACTCTTATCAACACTTTCAGACTCACAATAAAGCTCTGAAATATTTTGTTGATGTTCAGCAAAGTGATAGAAGTAAATGTGGAATCAAAAGCAGAGCATCAGTGAATATTACACTGTAGTTACTGATAACATTATAAAAGCTCTTTCAGTGTCTTATCAGTGTTTGTTTCTAATGCAGAGCACTGCTGACACTAATGTAGGAACAGTTTTATTCACTTTTCCAGTAACGTCTACAGGCCTTCAGAACACTGTATATTTCTTGTGATATAAAATCTTTACACTTCTATTAAACTGAGAGTTGTTCTACACTGTAATGTTAAAGAGTGAAGAAAAAGCTCTTTATGAATGAGGTTTTGTATTAAACTACATCTGGAGACATTTGGAACATTTAAAACATTCAATCTGTTCTCTGACCACAAGAGGGCAGCGGCATCTAAATGGAGTGAACCTGCTTTCATTCCTTTACTCCTCTGTTTTTCCTCCTTTTTCTTTACTGTTTGTTCACCACAATCTATCAGCTCAGTCGTTTCTAGGTTATTTAGTCATGTTACGTTAAATGGAGCTATAAAGTCTCTCTGCAGCTACAAACCACAGAGAAACCTGATCATATACAGTAACTGTCAGCTACAGATGCTGCCTCAAAGAGACCTATTTGTCACTTTATTTAGATTTTCACACTTATAAAATCATAATAATAACTATTTCACATTTTAAAGGTTTAAAATCAATTGTCAACACAAACATTTAGATACAAATAAATTCTGGTTATGAAATTCTTTTACAAACAAAACATGTCTTATAATTTCAGTAGTAGGTGCTGTAGAGAAATGTAAACAGATAATAATATACTGATGTGCATAAAGCAGAATATTAAACTGTTTTTACTGAAACAGATTTTTCATTACAGTCTCTAAGAGCTGCATAGCTGCTCTTTCCATCACAGACTGAGAGTCTCAGAACAATGACGGAGTAAAACTTCATACAGGGACAGAACAGCATTAAACAGAGCTTCAAGATAAACAGCTCCTCAGTGCAAATACCAAATACATAGAACAGAACAAAAAGCTCCTTCAACAGTTTTCAACAGGATTTCAACCTCCTTACATGATTTACACTCTCAGCTCTTTATTTACTGATGTTGAGTGGACACTGCAGTGGACATACTGATGATGTAAAGAACTCTCTTCTATCTAGACATCATTGAAATGATGGGACACAGTGAAGGTGTGGAAGTGAGCTGGTTGTAAACTGAATGTGAGGTGTGTGATGGACTCTCAGTGTGGGGTGTGTTGGAGCAGCTGAGGGAAACTGATAGAGCTGCAGGCTGTAGCTGCAGTAACAGATGGATGAGCTGAACAGGAATAAGAGTACTGATGGCTGAAAACTGAACACACTGTTCTAAATGTACTCAGTAACAGATTCAGTTACAGCACATAAAAAGTAACAATAGTCAGAACACAGTTAGAAAACGTCTTGATACGGCACATAGAAAAACTCTGCTTTTGTCATTTTTACTTTACATTTTTACTTGCTGTTACTGTTTGGCAGTTTTCTTTGTCGAATTCTTCTCTTAATGTGTTTCATATAAAATAATTTATCGCCTCAATGTTCTTAATTCTTAACATTTCTGTCCTACTTCAGTCCACTGCTGCCCCCACATCCCCCAAGACGACTTTATCCAGTATATTCAGCAAAAGTGGGACAGTACTAAAAATCTACTTTGTTAAAAACTGTAATCAGGGTTGGGAGGGTTACTTTAAAAATGTACAGATTACCTGTTAAAAAAATGTAACTGTAACCAAAGGATTACTTTGCTAAAGTAATGTAATCTGATTACTTTCTGTTACTTTTGTATTCCTTTTTTTATTTAAGATGTTTCATTAAAAAAAAAAATATTAAAAAATAGTAATTTCAATTTCAAGACTTTTTAACAAGATTTTAACTTAACACACATCAAACAGAAAAACTGCTGTTTTATAAAATGATGCCTTATAGGTGACTTAAACAGTCAGTGATCTCACTTTAAGCGAGATGGCCAAACCTAATACATGAAAATATTTAAAATATAAAGATGACAGATTACAAATTTCAATAATAGTATCATTTTAAACATGTATACTCCGACCTTGAAGTTCAGAAATCAAGCTTTGCTCCCTGATTTCTGGTTCTGCTTACACCAGTCAACAAGGTCCTTCACCAGCTTCCTGTATTCCTCCTCCTGTCCTTTCCTCATACGCCCCACAACGGCCGTGTCATCCGAGAATTTCTGCAGATGACACGACTCTGTGTTGTATCTGAAGTCAGAGGTGTACAGGTTGAACAGGAATGGAGCTAACACAGTCCCCTGGGGTGCCCCAACACTGCACACAGCCTTGTCTGAGACACAGCCCTGCAGTCGCACATACTGAGGTCATCCAGTAAGATAGTCCATTATCCATGAGCAGGGGTGTAAAGAGTACTGAATATCCCTACTGAAGTACAAGTCCTGGTACTGTAATCATAATTTGCTCAGGTACAAGTAAATGTATTAGTAAATAAAATTACTCAAGTAAGAGTAAATAAGTAGTTCATTAAAAAACTACTTCCGACTTCCGGCGTCGCGCGAGTGGCAGCCTGTTACAGCAGCTCTTGCTCACCGTGAGCTTTTTTTCTCTTATTTTTCCTTTCTTTTATAGTACTTTCTAAACCTGAGTACTTTTCACACTATCTGTGCACCATGGACATTAAACTCGTGAAGTTTGCGCTTCTTTTTATTTTGTTTTTCTCGCGCATTTCACACGCGAGAGCGGATCCAGTGTGCTCCCGGCGGGATCTCTTTGTTTACACCAGGGATCAGCTGATAGCGCTGAGGGGCACAGCGGCGCTCCCGGGGGAGCGACCCCAGATCTCCCGCGAGCTGAGGAGGAAGCGACGAGGGACTCGCGTGGGGGCTCAGCGCCGTGCGAGGAGAAGATACTACAAACCAGTCCTTCCCTCTGTCATCATGGGGAACGTGAGATCTCTTCCAAATAAGATGGATGAGTTAGCAGCGCTGACCCGGCACGAGAAGGAATTCCGTGAGTGTAGCGTCATGCTGTTTACGGAGACCTGGCTAACTACGCTAACTCCGGATACACTCGTCTCTCTGGATGGCTTTCACCTCGTACGGGTGGACAGGACAGCGGAGAGCGGTAAGAGGAAAGGAGGAGGACTGGCAGTATTTGTGAATGATAGATGGTGTAACTCTGGACACATCTCTATTAAAGAGCAAATCTGCTGTAAGGACATTGAACTGTTAGCCGTTAGCATGAGACCTTACTATCTGCCACGGGAATTCTCGCATGCTATCGCGATTGCTGCGTACGTTCCTCCGTCTGCTAACGCTGACGCTGCCTGTGACGCCCTGCACTCAGCTGTGAGCAGGATTCTGACCCAGCACCCACAGGCCCTCCTCCTGATCTCTGGGGACATTCTTCTCCATCCTCAACACTGTCTACCTTCACCCAGTATGTCACCTGCCACACCAGAGACAATAAAACACTGGACTTGTTTTATGCAAATACAAAGGAGGCATATAACTCCCTACCCCTCCCTCCCCTGGGAAGATCAGATCACAACCTGGTTCATCTTCTGCCTGTGTACAAACCACTTGTACACAGAGAACCAACCATCACCCTCACAGTGAAGTAATGGACTGCAGAGTCTGAAGAGGCTTTGAAAGACTGTTTCAGCACAACACTGTGGGAGGAGATGTGTGATCCTTAAGCGGAAGATATTGATGGCCTCACACACTTCATAACGGACTATGTCAACTTCTGTGTGGAGAATACCGTACCCACCAAGAGCATTCGGTGTTTCTCCAACAACAAACCCTGGATTAATCCTGATATAAAGGCCCTCCTGAAGGAGAAGAAGAGGGCTTTTAAATCAGGTGACAAGGAGGAGATGAGATCTGTGCAGAGGGAGCTGAGAAGGAAGATCCGGGAGGGGAAAGCCAGCTACAGGAGAAAGATGGAGGCCCAGCTGCAGCAGAATAATGTCAGTGGAGTCTGGAATAGCCTCAAAACTATTTCTGAACACAAGAAGCCCGACTCCCGGGCTGTGGGGGACCACAAGTGGGTGAATGAACTCAATCTATTCTTTAATAGGTTTGATCACTCGCCTGCTCCCCCCACCACAGGCACATCACTGCTGAATTCTCCCTGTCTGGCACTACCAGCATTTGGCCCTCCCCCCT